CTTTTTTTAAAAAATATTTTTTTCTTTTCATGTTTAAATAATTTATTTACTGTTTGCTACTTGTGTGTTCATTTTAATACATAACACACATATCTGTCAGACATGAAAAACAGTGGTATATTTAAGAGGATTTAATGATTGACAATACTTTTTGAAATGCACTTTATGAATATAAATATTTCCAAAGCAAAAAGAGAAAATAATTGAATAAGTAGAGACAGTGAAATTCTGAGCAAAAAGTATGACTAGTTTTTGTTCTTCAATAAATGAATACAACCACTGTAAAAATATATGTGTGTATACGCAACACACACACTACAGAAACATTTCAAAGTGGAAAATATTTAATGCACTGCCCAAGTGCTACAATAACTGTCCTCCATAGACAGTCACATGCAAACACTATTGGGCTAATAAGCTAGAGCAAGTATTAATGAGCAGAACTCCTTTGCAAAAACATTTTAAAATGGAAATAACAAAACCGAAATCTACTTCTCATCTGACAGTGTCTGCTCCTTCCCCACAGCCCCCCGGTTTGTCTGCTTGGTCTTCATGCCCTGCCCCCTGAGTGTCCGCTTGGTCCCCACGGGCCTCCTGCAGCGGGGGAGGGCTGTCCTCTCTGCACCCCCCACCCTGGGTCTCTCGGCCGTTGTGATGTCCCTTAGCTTAGCTTTGGACAGTATTTGTGAACTGCTGTAAAGTCAACTCTCAGACATCATTGATGGAGGCGAAACTCACATCACATAGAAGGAAGCACTTTGAAGCTCACAGTTGAGGGACACTCAGTGCACTCCCCGCGTGTGCAGTGACCTCGCTCTGGCTGCAGGACATTTCCGTCCTCAGGAAGTCCTCCCCCGTCAGCGTGTCCCGTCCGCGCTCACAGCCCCGGCCACCGCCCCTCAACAGCCTTGCTGTGGGTTCACCTATTCTGGACATTCCACTCCGTGGAACCCTGTGACATGGGACCTTATGTATCCAGCCTTTTTCATTGAGGATAATGTTTTGTTTGTTTGTTTGTTTTTTAAGATTTTATTTTTAAATTCAGTTTTAGGTTCCTAGCAAAATTCAGAGGAAGATACAGAGATTTCCTGTACACTCCCCTCCCCCATCGTCAACATCCCCACCAGAGGTATTGTTAATATTTGTTATAATCGATGAATCTGCCTTAACACGTCATCATCACCCAAAGTCCCTCTTACCCGTTAGGGTTCCCTCCTGGTGGTGGACGTGCTGTGGGTTTGCACAGATGAATGGCAACATAAATCCATCTTTAAAATATCACACACAGTATTTTTACTGCCTTAAAACACATAGGACTTTTTAAATGCTCAGGAAAGCCTACTAAAGAGGAGGTTTTGTGAACAACTGGAGCGTTAGAACGTCAGCATCTCCTACTAGGCGTCAAAACAAAGTCACATTGTTGGGCCCCTGGTTCCAGGTCTGGGCAGGAAGGCGCTGAGGTGGGTGTGAGACGGCGGCCCAGGCAGAAGCTGTCACAGGGAGCGTGATACTTGTTAGCAGGAGACAAACCCGCTGGCAGGGAGCCGGGGTGGCGGCTGTCACGTCTTCCGGGCGCTGGGCTCCCTTGTGCCGTGGCAGCACGCACGTTGGACGTGGGCATCCCTGCCGGGCCCCGTGGCACGGCCGCCCGGGCCTGCAGGACCGGGGGAACCTGTGGAAGGGCTGCAGT